TATAATTCTGTATAATTTTAAGATGATTCGGTGTTTCGTTGTATATTTTGATAACCATGGAATGTGAAGCAGCCGTACATGTTTTTAATTTAGAAAAAGGTACTTTAATTTTATTTTGGGTTCTATTATTTCGTTTTACTGTCTTTATCGGGGAATACAAATGTGAGTGCTTTCTAACAAATTTACATGATTCTAATATATATATTGAGGTCAGAGTAAGAATGCCGTTTTCTATGAATATAGGCTTACATGAGTCTGTTTGCTGAAGGTTGAATAAGATGCGTATACATCTTTTTTGAAGTACAAAGATTTTGTCGATTTCGGTACTATTTCCCCATAATATGATGCCGTAGCTCAATCTGGCATGACAGTACGCATGGTATGCTGCCAGGGCTGTTTTAAAGTGTGTGACCCTCTTTAAATGACCCAGTGCGTAAGTCGCAGAAGAAAGTTTAGCTGCTAACTTTTCAACATGCGGTTTCCAGCTAAGGTTCGTGTCAACTTCCACACCTAACAGCGTTGTGGATGTTACTGTTTGTAGAGATTGGTTTTTATACTTATAATTAATATTTAACGGGGTTTTTTGATAGGGCTTGAACTGCATTAGTTTTGTCTTTTCAATATTAATTTCCAAGTTGTGTATGTCGAGCCAATTTGTGATCTTATTTAGTACAGGGTCCAATTTAGAGTTCAACTCATTTTCGTCTTGGCATGATAATAAAATTGAGACATCATCAGCAAAGATTGTACATTGATTATTAAGTACATTTGGAAGTGAATTTATGTCGATTAAAAAGAGTGTACATCCCAAAACACTGCCTTGTGGGATGGAACTATTCACTAGTATTTCAAAAGATCTGTATGTTTTAATTTCTCCTGTGTTAAGGTTTGTGTTTTGGATTTCTACAATTTGAGAGCGATTTTCTAAATATGACCTAAACCATTGATGTGGCACTCCACGAATTCCACTTATATACAGATTGTGTAACAGAACATTATGGTTTACCCTATCGTAAGCCTTACTCATGTCTAGTACTCATTTTCCCGCTTCTCCTCCGGTAACTCGCTTTAAATTTAGTTCAATTCTCGAAAGCTCAAAGGCTATATTGCATCGTGTAGTTATAATAACGACCTTTTGTTTAATATTTCAATCTCCGTACTATAAAAAAAAATAAGCATAGGTTTAATTTTTTCCTGTGAAATTTTTTCGCAAAAATTTATCAACCTTATGTATATATAATATACAGTCTAAATCCTTCTCTTTGATCTATATAATTATATCCTTTCTTCTGATTAAAATACACTGCTCGCTAAGTCTAGGAAACTAGGTTATGATAATATTTTTAACAAATTTAACATACTGTTCCCTTACATATTATGTTGTATATCAAAAGAGCGTTATTTCGTTTTTATTTTGGTAATAAAATATTAAAAGAATTGTTAAGAAAAATTTTTTTTTTTAATAAAATAACAAATTGTGACAAAGTAAAAAAGAAACGTTTTTTATAAAGTTAAAAAAGTATACTTTTATTAAAGAAAGTAATAATATTAAATTTCGAAAGACAAAAATGGTTACTGTTCGTTATCTTCAGGAAATAGATCAATGCTTTCTTGGACTATATAAGTATTTATTATATTATAAAACTTATATATATTATATAAGTTTTTTAATAGTCAGTTGGACCTCCCAAGGCATTAGCAACGGCTCCACAATAATAATAATAATAATAATAACGCTCACACTCAACATAGCCCCGCACTAGGGAAACCCTGTGTCGCGGGTGCCATGGACACACACATAGACAACCACAAATTACACCCAAACTCACGAGAGAAATAAATGTAGGCCATACAAATATTTCTCCCAGCCCGGGAATCGAACCTGGGACCTCTGCGTGGCAGTCCGGCATGGTAACCGTTCGGCCACGGAGGCAGTTACAATGGCGTGGCGTAGCATACTAAGTATGAGGCTGTCAATTGTCGCCTGTGGAATAAGATACCATACTCTAGAAAAAGTAAAAAAGGCACTTTTTCTGTGTTTAAGTTTTGAGATAGATTATTGAATGCTCTTCCCATGCACGGAGACCGCTAAGAGTTCCAGCTCTACGTGGTGGAAATCGAGGTCCTTTATGGTGGGCACACATTTGCACTGGACTGAGTTTCAGTCCAAAATATTATCATAACCTAGTTTCCTAGACTTAGCGAGCAGTGTATTTTAATCAGAAGAAAGGATATAAAGGAATTGAGATCGACCGACTGAGCAGGCCACTCTGACAACCTGGTATCGTTACTCACGGAACACATTCATCACTAGCCCTGCAGTGTGTGCACGTGCATTATTGAAGCAATAAACATGATATCTTAGCCGAGGTGTTGTCGTTGAGGGATTATCATGTTGCATAACTTCATCGCAGTATCGTTCCGCATTCAAGTTGCCATGTAACCAAACGAGATCAGTTCTTCCAACCAGGCGAATTTCAGCTCACACCATTATCGTTCCACCTTGGTGTGGATGAACTTCCTGAGGATACTGGAGTCGACTCGTGCGGCCAGGAATTTGCCAAACTGACATTTTTCTTGAATCAGGACGAAAACTGAAACAAGACTCGTTAAAAAAGCACACATTTGCACTGGACTGAGTTTCAGTCCAGTGCAAATGTGTGCCCACCATAAAGGACCTCGATTTCCACCACGTAGAGCTGGAACTCTTAGCGGTCTCCGTGTATGAAGATGGAGTTTATGTAATCTTCTTTTCGCAGTACGGTCACTAGCAACCACTTGGTGCAGGGACCGCAGTCTTTACACCACTTGTGGAGCTGTAGTATGGGGCGTTTTTTCTTTCAGTACTTTGCAAAAAATGTCTCTGGGTAGTGCCACTGTATCTTTCTCAGTGACGTTCGGATACATCACCTGAAGCCAATAATCTAGCGTGCCAATAATCGGCAAATGCTTGGTTGCGAGGTTGCGAGAAATTCCAACAACATACCCACAGCCCCAAGTATCTCTTCCCGAGCTAAATGACGACGTGATGTCATATATATACGTTTAAAATCACAAAAGTTTACGAAAACAACGATAAATTGTTTAATACTAGAAAAACAACCGTTTAATGATAATAAACTGTCAATTGCGTACATTACTAAAACCTGAGCGCTATGCTACACTCATAGTTTTCCCTCCCAATTTCAAAACGTTTTTGCGTTTTTATTTTACATTTTTAAATTTCGATGCAAAATTTAATACAGTTTCATTTATACAATTTAGAGGCCAGTAGTTTTTCTAAAAAAAATAGTGAAAAAGTTAATATAATTGGTTTGTTCCCTAGACTTAGTTGAGTAGTATATTATGGTAAATATTTACTAAAGAAGATTTAAGGGTGGACTGTAAACGTTTTAATAGCAGTACAGCTCGTAGGTAAAGTGTTCATCCAAGGAAGTACCGCCATAACTATTTCTATCATCAAATTGTAACTATGAGTATTACTGCGTTCCGATTTTGAATGGTAAAGATGCTGGTGAAATTACCAAGTGCATTGAATTTGTTAAATTTATGCCTCAGGATGACAGGCCCAATTACAATCTTCCCTCTTGCCCTCTTGTCTTTGCGATTTGAACTTCTGAGTGGCAGCAATTGTTATTGGGTGGTAGGCGTATCATTTACCACTGGGCGCACGACTACACCACCATAAATAAACCAGCTGGGAACGGCTTTTGACTTGGTTCAACACAAAAGCCAGGAGTCTTATTGGCGACGATAAGCTCAAATATAAACTTTATAGTTTAGCCCACCAGCGCAAAGTTGCCTGTCACTTATCTACAGAATATATTTCGGTGAGTGTGCGCAGCTTCATCAGCTCATCCAGCCTCCTTTTATCATCAAACATACAGATGTACAGCGGGATATTATCACTACTCGATATTCTCTTCAGAGTACTAACACATTTCGTCATCTTTTTATTATGCATACAGCCCAGGAATTAAATTCCATGCTTGCGACTCTGTTTTCAAGCACATGCAACCCGAGTATCTTTAAGGTCGTATTTGCCTATTGTTGGGATTACACTCGAGTAATTTCTGGATTGTTAATTAATGTCAATATTTATTAGTATATTTCTGTTCGCGAATGTTATAAATAAATGAATGAATAAACATCTTCCGCGCGAGCTCGTTCGTAAACCCTACGTTTGCTCCAGGACTAGGTAGTGGGCAAGAGCAAGTCTTAAAAAAACGGAGTAAGGGTAACATCCCTATGCAAGCATCATTTGGATGTCTATTAAAACAGCATTCATTATCTTAAGGTAAGTGCGTTCTAAGATAAAATACTCGTGTCTATTCTAAAACTTTGATATACAATTTGTAATATAAGAATAAGAATGCATTTATTGCATAACTATAGGTAATTATATAAGGTCTTAAAATATTACATAGGTTTGTGCTCTATAGTCTTCCAGTTAAGGTGTATAATATTATTTAAATGTCACAGAATAAAATTAAATTACATCACAATATGAGAAAAAAAACAATTATTAATAAACATGTCATATCGCTAGTCATCAAATTTGTTATTGTCGCGTATAACTCTTCTACACTATAATAAAGTTTAGTACTTAACCATATCACAAGAGTATTTTTAAATTTCATGTACACTAATCTTTTAAAATCATTCGAAATGCTGTTGTACGTGCCGACATTACTTTATAGCTTTTGTGGTAAAATGCTGAGGTATGGTTGCCCGAGTAAATTATTCTATACCCATGTCTTAAATTTCTATGGTTTCTTTTATTTGCGATTTCAAAATATGACGAATGTTTCTGGACAATTCCAGCAAACTCCTTAATGTACAGGCAGAGTAAAGGTACAATTTTGCACATATCGAAATATGGCTTACATGAATCCATTTGAGACCTACGACTATACGACTACCACGCAAGCACGATTGTTCGTTCCGTCAAAAAATAATTAGATGCTGTTAAGATTACTAAGAAATCATTAGATACTTACGTCTACATCGATTCCCCTAATAGGAAAAATCTTTAACGGGGGCACGTCTCTTGGAGAATATCGGCAGAACTCTCTATCACCTCGATACCACTTTACTGAGTACAACACTTCTTGTTCCAAGTCATAAAGACACATCATGAGGACTCTAGACCCTCGTTCTGAAGCCTCCGGTATCACCATATGTACGTCACGTAGACACGCCGATCCTGAAAATAAATAAAACCATAAACTACCATTGTTTTCCTTAAGGGACGACCCTTTAGACCTTTAGGGACTTATGGGATTCCTATTTCATTTTCAAGGACCATACGCTATGTATTATGAAACATAAAAGTTACTTTTTAAGTAAATGGCAAATGGACGTCTTATGAATTTTACCTAAGTAAAGTAAGTTACGTAATGACGTCGGTTTGTGCAAGTAAACCTTATTTCTTGCTCCGTGCCAAAATGTTAGACAAGCTTGTTTTATTTGAAAATTAATAAATACTGAATGGATCTTATTGCGAATAATATGTTTTTTTTATTAAGTGACGGGACGAACAAGTCGTGCGCCTGATGATAAGCTACACGGCTGTCCATAACAGGTGTAGCGCCACTCAAAGCTGTAAATCGGAAAGATCTGTGGTGCACTGCCACTGCGCCCGTCAGACATAAGACATAAGTTGACAAGACCCATGTGCCTGTAATTTCACAAATACCCTTACGCTTCAAAACCAGAGCACAATAATGCTGACATTACTGCTTGATGGCAGAAATAGGTAAGATGGCAGTACTTCCTTGGACGAACTCTTTCACAAGGAGCTCTAATGCTACTGAAACTTTTTGTCGTATCGATGGCATACACTACAATCATAGTATGCGTGACTTCACCCACAATGAACACCGTAAGGCCACCGGAGTCGACAAAAATATTTTGTGAATGGAATAAAAAATATTGTGTTAGTTCTTTAAACATTTATAGACTAGCCAAATGGCTAGTCGATAAATGTTTACCTAAAGTAGTAGTTTGCCTATTTCGGCTACTACATCTTATAAGGTTTTAATTTTAATTAATTAATTATTATTATTGTAATGTTAAATAAGATTTTTGTTTAAATGTCACATTAGTCTAGACGTCATCGTTCAGCATCTAGTCATAATAGCACGCCTGATTGTAATATGTACCCGTACCTATGTAGAACTAGAGCTGGTAAATTTGTGTTGAAGTGAACATTCACTCATTCATTATTTTGTTCATTATTACCATCATACCTCTGATCTTGGCTTGAGAATTTCGGGAAGTAAGATTTTTTGCTTACAAATCTTTTAATTGCTTATAAAAAGGACACAAACACATGCTGCCTGAAATAAAGTGACTGCCGATATATGTGCGTGTATCCACTTGAATATTGAACATAGGCACCACACCTAGCCAGAGTAAATTTGACCCGGACAAGTTGGATTTACCCTGACACGCAATTTAAGGGAATAACACGCCCGGGATTGTGGAGGAGAAAACCAACGTGTCGCGGCAGGTACGCGGTGGCTAGATTCCTGCCGGCTATACAAAACGTGACGGAAAGTAGGTAATAAGGTAATTAGTTATTTTGTTAGATGGTT